TCATGATTATGAAATTTGGCAAATGGTTGTCTAAACCGCATTCCTTAATGGATATCTTAAAGAAGAGTTGTATATGATGCAACCAGAAGGTTTTGTCGATCCAAAAGGTCCTAACAAAGTGTGCAAGCTCCAGCGATCCATTTATGGACTGGCGCAAGCCTCTCGGAGTTGGAATATACGCTTTGATAGTGTGATCAAAGCATATGGTTTTATACAGACTTTTGGAGAAGCCTATATTTACAAGAAAGTGAGTGGGAGCTCTGTAGTATTTCTGATATTATATGTGGATGACATATTGCTAATCGGAAATGATATTAACCTTCTGAATAGCATAAAATGATACTTGAATAAGAATTTTTCAATGAAAGACCTCGGTGAAGCTGCTTATATATTGGGCATCAAGATCTATAGAGGTAGATCAAGACGCTTAATTGGACTTTCACAAAGCACATACCTTGATAAAGTTTTGAAGAAGTTCAAAATGGATCAGTCAAAGAAAGGGTTCTTGCCTGTGTTACAAGGTGTGAAGTTGAGTCAGACTCAATGCCCGGCCACTGCAGAAGATAGAGAGAAAATGAAAGTCATTCCCTATGCCTCAGCCATAGGTTCTATCATGTATGCAATGCGGTGTACCAGACCTGATGTGTGCCTTGCTATTAGTTTAGCAGGGAGGTACCAAAGTAATCCAGGAGTGGATCACTCGACAGCGGTCAAGAACATCCTGAAATACCTGAAACGGACTAAGGATATGTTTCTCGTTTATGGAGGTGACAAAGAGCTTGTGTAAATGGTTACGTCGATGCAAGCTTTGACAATGATCCTGATGACTCTAAGTCACAAATCGGATACGTATTTATATTGAATGGTGGAGCTGTCAGTTGGTGCAGTTCCAAGCGAAGCGTCGTGACGGGATCTACGTGTGAAGCGGAGTACATAGCTGCTTCAGAAGCAGCAAATGAAGGAGTCTGGATGAAGGAGTTCATATTCGATCTAGGTGTCATACCTAATGCATCGGGTCCAATGAAAATCTTTTGTGACAATACTGGAGCAATTGCCTTGGCGAAGGAATCCAGATTTCACAAGAGAACCAAACATCATCAAGAGGCGCTTCAATTCCATCCGCGATCAAGTCGAGGAGGGAGACACAGAGATTTGCAAGATACATACAGATCTGAATGTTGCAGACCCGTTGACTAAGACTCTCTCACGAGCAAAACATTTTCAGCACCAAGACTCCATGGGTGTTAGAATCATTACTATGTAATCTAGATTATTGACTCTAGTGCAAGTGGGAGACTGAAGGAAATATGCCCTAGAGGCAATAATAAAGTTTTTATTTATATTTCCTTATATCATGATAAATGTTTATTATTCATGCTAAAATTGTATTAACCGGAAACTTAGTACATGTGTGAATACATAGACAAACAAAGTGTCCCTAGTATGCCTCTACTAGACTGGCTTGTTAATCAAAGATGGTTAAGTTTTGTGACCATAGACATGTGTTGTCATTTGATGAACGGGATCACATCATTAGAGAATGATGTCATGGACAAGACCCGTCCGTTAGCTTAGCATAATGATCGTTTAGTTGTATTGCTATTGCTTTCTTCATAACTTATACATGTTCCTCTGACTATGAGATTATGCTACTCCCGAATACCGGAGGAACACCTTGTGTGCTATCAAACGTCACAACGTAACTGGGTGATTATAAAGATGCTCTACAGGTGTCTCCGATGGTGTTTGTTGAGTTGGCATAGATCGAGATTAGGATTTGTCACTCCGTGTATCGGAGAGGTATCTTTGGGCCCTCTCGGTAATGCACATCACTATGAGCCTTGCAAGCAATGTGTCTAATGAGTTAGCCACGAGATGATGCATTACAGGACAAGTAAAGAGACTTGTCGGTAACGAGATTGAACTAGGTATGATGATACCGACGACCGAACCTCGGGCAAGTAACATACCGATGACAAAGGGAACAACGTATGTTGTTATGTGGTTTGACCGATAAAGATCTTCGTAGAATATGTAGGAGCCAATATGAGAATCCAGGTTCCGCTATTGGTTATTGACCGGAGATGTGTCTCGGTTATGTCTACATAGTTCTCGAACCCGTAGGGTCCGCACGCTTAACGTTTGATGACGATTTGTATTATGAGTTATGTGTTTTGATGAACCGAAGTTTGTTCAGAGTCCCGGATGAGATCACGGACATGATGAGGAGTCTCGAAATGGTCGAGACATAAAGATTGATATATTGAAAGGTTATGTTTGGACAGCGGAATGGTTTCGGAAAGGTTCGTGCATTTTCCGGAGTACCAAGGTTTACCGGAACCCCTCGGGGAGTTAATGGGCCTTCATGGGCCCTAGTGGAGAGAGGAGGCAGCGGCCAGGTGGTCCCCTCCCCCCAAGCCCAATCCGAATTGGACTAGGGTTGGGGGGCCCTTTCCTTCTCTCCTTCTACTCCTTCCCTCCTTCTCCTAGTGGGAACAGGAAAGGGGGGGCGAATCCTACTTGGACCGGGAGTCTAAATAGGACCCCCCCATGGCATGCCCTCCTTGGGCTGGCCACCTCTCCTCCCCCCTTTATATACGTGGGGGGGCACCCCAAAGGCACACCAAGCCTTCTCTTAGCCGTGTGCAGTGTCCTCCTCCACAGTTACACACCTCAGATCATATCGTCGTAGTGCTTAGGCGAAGCCCTGCGCCAGTAACTTCATCATCACCGTTGCCGCGTCGTCAGGGGCGGAGCCAGCTATATGGCGAGGTTTGGCAGGTGCCATACCTAAAATTTGGCAAAAATACTACGTATATATACTATACTTGTCTGAAGATTTGAGCTGAGTTCAGTTTCGTTAGTTGGGAGGAGGAGAACACTCTCAGAGGCGCGTCGAATTGCCCATGGCCCAATTATCCTCCCAGCAGCCCACCTAGCTGCATGTTAGCCCAGCTCCAGTCCTTTTCCAAAAAAAAAGACCAGCTCCAGCCTCTAGTAGTCCAGTTACGCTACAAATCGAGCCCGCTGATGGAAATCACGCAGAGACACAACCGCAATTACGGAATCTAGCTCTCGGTTACGGGGATTCCGGCGGCGACCATGCTCGGCGAACGCGGCGGCGGCGGGTGGCACTGCAGGGAATTAGGTGGCGAGTGACACAGCCGCGGCGCAGACCCAAAAGCGACGAGCTTAATGCCTCTATGTGCCAACAACGGCGAGGCCGGAGCAATGACGTCAGGTCAGGATCCTGGCCGTATTGGTTCTAAAATTTCGTACTTCTTGTGTCCATTTTTTCAGTCCATACACTAGTAAACATCAATTCTTTTTTATAAATTCGATTAGTTGTTTTTTTAGGGGAATTCGATTAGTTGTTCTGTGATCTATCATCAGTGAATTTGTTTTTCTGATCTACTCTCTCCGTTCCTAAATATTTGTCTTTCTAGACATTTTGAATGACTACTACATACGGATGTATGTAGACATGTTTTAGAGTGTAGATTCATTCATTTTGCTCTGTATGTAGTCACTTGTTAAAATGCCTAGAAAGACAAGTATTTAGGAACGGAGGGAGTATGAAGTAAGTTGTGTTAAAAAAGGAATCTACTATGTACTCCCTCTGTCCCATAATGTAAGACATCTTTTCACATTGGACGGAGGGAGTAGTAACTAGAGAGACTAATAAGCAATTTTAGAAAAAAAATGGAAGAAAGCTTCAAAGAGCACTAATTCAACACCGACAAACGTTTATGTTTTGCAGTGAACGATTTGTGAACCTTTATGTTTTCGATTTTCATTCTAGACTTTGAATACCCATTAAATGTGGCACTCCGCACAGCTACTCTCCAAACTCGCGAGCCTGCATAGCTTCGTGTGATTCTTTCCTGGTTCCGACCTGCCGTCCCTAGCCGGCTAAGTGCCAGAAGATCGAGTAAGGCATCGATCAGAGAGCAACCTTGTGAGGTTGGAAGTGTCGGGCCGGGCATGGCAGTGGCCACAGGCGGGCGAGGCAGAGCACGAGCGGCACATAGTTATATTGTACATTGGTCTTTACCTCGTGAAATCCGCCACACCTATAAATTATTCCTGCCTTCGCCACTGCCCGTCGTCGTGCTGACGGAACTCTCCCTCGTCCTCAACTGGATCAAGAGATCGAGGCATGTCATCGAACTGAACGTGTGCTGAACGCGGAGGTGCAGTACGTTCGGTACTTGAATCGGTTGGATCGCGAAGCCGTTCGACTACATCAACCACGTTACTAAATGCTTCCGTTTTCGGTCTACGAGGGTACATGGACACATTCTCCTCACTCGTTGATATGCTTCTCCTAGATAGATCTTGCGTGATCGTAGGATTTTTTTTGAAATACTACGTTCCCCAACATATTCAACATTCACAACTTAAGATATCGTCGCAACAGTAGCTTATTGTCGCTTGTTGATTATGTTCATAGTTCACAACTTTAGCTGGGAGAACAACAGTTTTGGATCTTGTTTGTGTTACTGTAAGCAACAAAGGATCACCCAATCATCTCGAGGTTTGAATCCACTAGAACCGAAACGTGCCAACTAAATAGAGGAAATTTCTTGTTGAATCTTGCAATTCATCTGCCCAAAACCAAATAGAGGGAATTTCTTGTTGAATCTTGCAATTCATCTGCCCAAAACCAAAACGTGCCAACTAAACAGAACACGTTCAGCTAGCGCTTGTTTCTTGTTAAGTGTAGCACAAATATTACTAACTTTGTACTAAACCAGAGTCCATTAATATGGATCGGGCAGAGTATTTTTTTTCCATGTTAAACTGTTAAGTTAGTTCCAGGTCACATTAATTGACCACAAAAAGGAGCATATGTTCCCAGCTTACTGATAAAACAAAATGCTGCCAGGATTAAACTTACACTTCATTCAATCAAGGAATACTAAAGTTGACTCAAATTATGTTATCAGCTTTGGCACAAAGGGCATTACAAGTTACAACACAAACTTGAATTGAAGACACTATGGGAAGTTCTTCTTTGCAACATGAGAAGCCCATATAGTTTTGCCGGCCAGGAAGTGAATTGAGGCAGCTGAATCGATCCCACTGGTAATTATCTTCTCCACCAAAAGCTTCTTAGTCTCAGCAAAGGGGAAGCTGGACGGCGGAGGGTTGTCGCGGCACATCTTACACGCCAGCCTATTGTATAGGAACACATTCTTTAGATTCACCGCTGCTTCCATGACACACCTGACATGCGTCAGCATGTATTCTTCAGATTCAAAACCAAAGATTACTAGTGTTTCCAGACGCCGGTGCTGGAAACGAGATGCAGATGATTCCCACCTTACACCCTTCCTTATGCTATACGAGAGTGCCCTCCTCTTCTCCCTGTCCATTTCCATTGTACACAAATGATCCCACACCTGCGTACCATAGGCCGACACCGGTAAATGGAAATGGTTTATCAATATTGCAGCCATTTGTATTTGAAGCAAAAAGCTAAGAACATACCGTCAAATATAGCTCCTTCAAGTTGGGTGCAGCTTCAAGAATGAACAATGACCAGGAGAGGTCATACCCTTCTGGAATTTCAGCCATATGCACAAAAGTTAGCTGGCAGAACACGGATGCCAGCTGTCTCGTCAGATGTTCTGGTTGCACCCAAATCTGCATCAAATAAACATGTGATGATATAAGTGGAAAAAGAAGTGACCCCATAACTAGCAAAACATCTATGTCGACTTACCTTTTCGCTCTCAAATCCTAACCTCAGGTTACGCACAGAGGTGCCACCAAGAAACTCACTTAACTTGACCATTTTGTGGCTACTAAGACAAACATTGGTGAGATCTACAGTCTCGAGCAATGGTACATCACCAACTGATAGTGGATCTTGGAAAGCGATCCAACCATGAAAGGCCATCTGTGTGAGTTTTGGGAGGGAGATGAGCACGACTTTTCTAAATGAACAATTAACGATCTCAAGCTCACTGAGCTGCAGGTGTTCAACTTGCAGTGTGGCCCAAACCCCTGAGTCGCAATTGAACATGCGTAGGTGTTTTAGTTGCTTGCAGGTAAGGAGGACATTACAGATGTCTGATTTACCAAATCTCAAATCCTGCAGTTTGAGGCACGTGAGACCACCAAATGCACCCGGGCAAGCTTCAAAGAACAACATAAAATTTCTCCCATAGTAGACCAGATCATCATCGCCGCGGCGGGAGTAATGCGCCTCTGTCAAAATTGCGAATTGGGCTATCTCAACCTTGTGGGTAGCCATGATCTGTCCAAGAGCATGTCCAATGGATATGGTGTCATTGTCTCTCAAAAAGAACTTCATGGACAGGAGGTGGATGGTGTTTCGGCTTGGATCCCTGCGTGACATGATGCTCTTTGTTGCTTCAACCGCAGCTCCATTGATTCGAACAATTTCGCGTTGGTAGCATGCAGTTGTTCCCTCAGGGAGGAAATCCAAAACGTCTATCTTAATTTGAGAGAGCATAGCAGGGAGCTGCTGCCACCGTCGGGAGAGGACACAGGTTCTTGCAGCGTCGCGAACATTGAGCCGGTCAAGAATGGTGAGCAAAATATGATCAGGCAAGTTGCTAAGCATGTCTTCTCGATTACCGTCCTGCATTTGGCATGGAAACATATTAGAGTTGATTTCTTAGTCTCGAAGGCGCACTTTCAAAAATATTAGCCTAAAGATACTATTTTGATGTAGTCTAAAAGATGCAATTCTGTAGTCTCGAAGATACAATTTTGACATTTTTGACAAATGAAAACTGCTTGCGATGTGTAAAGAGTTTTTAGTTTTGCCGAGAATATTGTGTAAGATGATCTACAGGAAGGATTCCCTGAAAAGAAAGGACAAAGGACTCACCTCCGCTCCATGGTGTAGATCAGCCGATGACCAAGAGGAGGAGCGAGGGAGGTCTCCGTCGCCGGATGTGTTTTCTGATGACTCGCGGGTGGCTCGGTCTCCACTGAACCTGATGGCTTCGCCGCCGACCGCTTGAGGGGATATATAATGGCTTGGTATAAGCTTCCAACTTCGGAGTCAAAAATTGGAGAGCAAACTCGAAAATTGGAAGGCAAGCCCCCTTAATTCTGCTGGGGGTTGACCGAGAAAGAGACGGAGCCGATCTCCGTCCGAAATGAAAACAGAAACGGATCGATTTCGGTATGCGGCTCGAAAAGGAGCTGCTTTTTATTCGCCGGCCTCTTCCGGAACTGCAAACAAGTGCAGCAGAGGCCGCAGTCGCCGGCCAGACGGCCGGCAAGAGCAAATTAGGAAGCCGGCGCCGCTGCCAGCGCTCGAGCGACGGGCGGCCACGAAGCTCCGTTGCAGGTGTTGCTGATGCGGCGCGACGCGCCAGCCTGGGAGAAAAGAAAGACGACGGCGCAACTAGGGAGCGCGGCTGCGTCGGCATTTGGCCGGTGGATGGGCAGCTGACCCATCTCTCGCCTCCAATTAATCTCCCCGCATTTCTCTCTCTGTATGGAAACCCTAGATCTGAGAGGAATCGCGTGGTTGGGATGGAGTTCGGACTTTGGAGAGGACGACTAGCTCTTGGATGTCCACCTAAATCCGCGGAAACTGCAGAACGAAACTTGTGCAGAACCAGCCTGTGTTTGGCGATCGGTCGCCGCGCAATCGGCTTCGGACAGGATAGAGCTTCTGTTTTGGTGGCTGACCACTCGTCCTGCAAAGCTTTTGATGAAGAATTGACGATGGGGAGCATGGATGGAAGCACCGGGACGGGAGCAGGCAAGCCTCGTCCATTGCTAATGTGAGCGGTGAGCCCATGCACCAGAAGAATGAACGGAAGCACCGCTTGATTTGCACTTAGAAAGACGGAAAACAGTACAACTTGCGGCACATGCCGTGATTTGTTAAAAGTTCAAATTTTGTTGTGCAAATTTCTAGATCCAAATTTGTTTTTACATGTCCCGGATGCCTAGCTAGCTGAGTTCATTTTTACATTCTGAATGTGTGTGTTTAATTTTTTTATGAAGATGTTTAATTTGCACATGCAACAAAAGTAAATTGTTGAAAAATGCAGTGGGTCGAGAAATGGGGAAACTCTTGCACAAAATGTTGCTGATGTTGTATACTGGTTGAATCAACTTGATTTTAATTAACTGATGGTGATGATATTTGCAGATAGGAACATGCCAGAAGACGTCGACATAAGCTCAGACATGGCATTCTTGACTTGGTTGCTTGTAGTGAGATTGGTAGAACTGATTATCGATGATGAAGGCAACATGCATTGTTTAAGTACCATCACCGATGGCGGGAGTGGTTGATGGCGAACGATGTTTACATTGGCATGGCAGCAGCGATCGACTGTCGGTCTGCTTGTCATGTTAGATAAAAAAATAGTCATGCAAAATTGATCATGAAAGAGTGGCTATTCGTTTTGTGTCTACATGGCTGTACAAATGTTTGGCAATCATATTTGTATAGATGTTATATAATCCTGATCGGTAAATTTGATTTGTCTGTCAGTAGAGAAAAGTAAGAGACTAATTCAAAAGGATACGAACAATGAAAAGAGATCATGATGAATATTAGTCCGATTTCTTACTTTTGATCCTAGACATTCATCCCCGTTCTCATGGTTTCCAATACCAATGGTTAAAAGTGCCATAGGGGACAATAATTTCTTTATTTTGCGTGAGATTAGTTTGTTCGTTTGATGTAGCCTTCAAACTGCAAATTGTCTTGGGCCTGAGATTTAGGATCTTGTTTCATGCTCTCCAAATTGCTAATTTGCTGATTGATCTTGTGAAGTTTCCCGTTGTTTTTATTTGCATCTATTGTGAGGTTTGTTTGTGTGTTTTCTGTACATTGGCACGCAAACCAGTTGGCGGATGTTTCCCCTCCAGAATTAATCACGAGTATTAAGGAGGGAGAGGGAACACGGAAATACAGGGGTTGTTTCCCCTTTTTAGGGAGGAAAAGGGGCGTGGGATGGAAATTCTCTGCACCCGTTCGATGAGAAATGGTGGAAGGGGAGTACCAATGGGAGCACACGAGGGGAGCAGGCAAGCCTTGTCCATCAGCAACCATCTTTTTGCAACGTGCTTCCATTCAATAATTTTGATGTAGTCTAAAAGATTCAATTCTTTTTTTTAGCAAAAATAAAAGATTGAATTCTGTAGTCTCGAAGATACAATTTGCCTACATGATATCTCAGTGGTTCAATAATTATTTATTTTAGATTTGCTTACGAGATATAGTTACCTCACATCTAACTTTCTCACAACACGATCTAAAGATACAATTTTCATGCAAATTAGTGATTGTCCGCTGCGCGTGACTTCCTTTCTATGTTTGCGTGCGCGTGCAGCCCGTTGGTTGCGTTACGTTTGTGTGGTAGCTGGTCTTTTCGTTTGTATCTGGTCCTGAATTGGGCTAGTTTTTTTTGTCCATGTCTGCGTGGAGAGTGGTCCTCTTTTGTGTTTTTTCAGTGGTTTCCAGGAAAAAATTGGAAGAGTGAGGGCGAGCATTTGTTAAAGTATTTTAGGTTCACCACTCTCGATACTCGGTCTTTTCTAAAAAAGTTCCTTGTTTTTTTTCCAAATTTTCTTTTGGTTTTTAAACTTTTTGTCATAAAATCTATGTTTTTTAAATTTCATAAGTATATTTTAAATTCACGACTATTTTAAACTATGACTTATCTAAGTTTGCCATTGTTTGATTTAGTTTTCATAATTTTCATGCAAGCTCTCTATCTTCCACCTCGTTCGCCGTTGTTTGTTTGTCGCGTATCATGTTGTTGCCTAGGCCTGTTGCATATCATGACGTTCCCTATGTTGTTTCTAGACTACGACCTAGAATTGAAAGTGACAAGAAAAAAAAAGCTCTATCGCGATCGCCGCCTTTACGGTTAATTTTGACATTGTCTCTCTTTCCTTCTAAACTTCATCAAAATGAGAGTTAGTACTGTCTTATTTAAGTTGTTGTCTGTTGGGATCTTGTTGGTGTAATTTTCACGCAAATTCTTGATCTCGTATCGTCGGCTAATGTATTCATGTGTTGTCTATTCTGTTTTGTCCACTTTCGACCTTATCATGGTGCATGTCTTTTTATTTGTCCGACTTTTTTCTTGATTGCGCTCTTTTGGCCCACTTTTTTTCGTATGCGTTGTAGAAATAGAAGAGACACGCTATGTTGCTTGACGTTGCCCTTTTCTATTTTCTTTCAAGTTCGATGTTGAAGATATACGCTCTGTAGAAAAGACAGGCTCTACCTTGCGGTCGATATGCAATTGTACACGATCATTTTTATCCGAGTTGCAAGTCCATCGTCAACAAAATACGGGAACACCCTTTTTCCAGGTTGCAACTTCAGCCCTAACATACACAAAAATTGTCCCAGTTGTAAGTCTACCTTCGAGGGCTCGGCCAATTTTTCTCCCGTTTTCCCCAGTTGAAAATCCACCCTTGACTCACAACTAAGGCCCGATCTTTCTTGTCTCAGTTGCAAGCCCACTCTCAACTCGCAACTAAGGCATGCTCTTTTATTGTCTCAGTTGCATTCTCACCCCTGACTCGTAACTGGACCTGGCATTTTTGTGTCCTAGATGTAAATCCATCCTCGACTTACAACTGAGGCCTGAACTTTTTTTGTTCCAGTTGCAAGTCTACACTTGACTCGTAATTGAGGCCCAACCTATTTTCTCCCAGTTGCAAGTTCACCCTCGACTCGCAACTGGGGTCTAGTCTGTTTTTGTCCCAGTTGAAATCTCACCCTCGACTCACAAACTGGTGCCCGACTTTTTTTATCCCAATCGCAAGTCCATTCTCAACTCACAACTGGGAGCCGACCTTTTTTTTCAGTTACAAGTCCACTCTCGACTCGCAACTGGGGCCGATCGTTTTAGTCTCAGTTGAAAGTCCACCCTTGACTCGTAACTTTAGTCTAACAAGTTTGTGAATATTTTTTCAATTTAATGAATATTTTCCAAATTCCTGCACAATTTTTAATTTCATGAACACCTTTTATTTGGATATTCTAGAATTCTTTAATATATTCTAAAATTCATGATTTTTTTAGAATTTGTTAATATTTGTTCATATTCATGACAACTTAATTTATGAACATTAAATTTACACTTCATTACTTCAAAGTGCATTTCTATGTTTTCCTAATATTTTTTGAAAAAATTGAATTTTTTTTATTTCATGAGCATTTTTGTTAATCTGTGAATATTTTCTAATCTACAAACATTATTTTTAGCTATGACATGAGTTGGGTATGGCTCGCTCAAAAGTCACAACGTTCAAATAAAGGGCTGACTCGAATGAGTTAATGAACTATGGTATGAGTCGGGTCTGGGTCCGGTGTATGGTTACCCGAGTCTAACAAAGATTTTGGCCATTGGCTTCGTGTTACTTTTACCTTTTCTTTTACGTACTTCGTGTATCCACGGGCAACTTAATCGATTGCCGGCGGAGAGTTTTATAAGCTTGGACTAGTTTCCATCTGGCCGGAGTGAGTAAGCTGAGACAAACAAACACGCCCAAGACAAACAAAAGAGAAACAAGCAAACAAACAAAAAAGGCCACAAACAGTGCAGATGTCATACTTAGATGTAAGGTATTATCTCACATCTAGATGAGATGTAGTCAGACCTTATTTATTTATCAATTCAGGAATTTCTTTCATCTATTCATCAACAATCATGGCAATATAAAGAACACCAGAAGCAACAAAAATTGTATCCACGTCTATAGTCCACTTAGTGACGATTACAATCATTAGAGCGAGCCGAAGGCACGTCCATCATCGCCCCCTCACCGAAGTTGGACAAATTTTATTGTAATAGATAGTCGTGAAGTCGTCGTGCTATGACCTCACAGGACCTTGCAACAGAACAGCA